GGGGGGGGGGCAAATTTATTACAGAAAAGTGGGTTCACCTGTTTGTAAACTTTGCGTCAATATTACGGCGTTAACAGTTTTTAAACTTTAGACCTTTGCACGTAAACTCGCCTATTGTTTAAGCGAAAAGATCTATATTTTTATTACATCACCCTCTTGAAAATTACAGGTCTCTGCTTTTATACCCCTTTTCGTGTCATCGTGTTAATGACGAACAGATGACCGACAGACTGAACAAACACGAGGGGTCCGCAACTAGGTTCGAGCGCACACTGGCCGCCCGGCAAACTGGGAAGACCGGGAAGACCACCAGGAAGACTAAAGAAAACCGAAGAAGACCAATAAAATCGTAGGCCACAAATGTGACGGAAAACCGAAAAATATAAGGGAAGACCGGAAAAACTTTAGGAAAGACCTAGAAATTGCAAGGAAGACCAGAAAATGTAAGGGAAGACCGATGAAAATGCGAGAAAACCGCAGAAAACTGGAGGAAGCCTCTAGAAAATCTCAGAAAACCAAGATATTGGGAAAACCAAGAAAAAGTTGGGAAGACCGGGAAAACCTTAGAAAAACCTGGGAAAACCAGGAAGCCCACCACATGTGTACACCGGCAGACCGTACTTGCGGACCCCTCGGAACAAACATCTGAGGAACATTTTAGTCACTTGCATAAGCAATGATCTTCGTTATTGCTCAGCCAAGAACATCGCTTACTTTCCAAATTTTTGGCGAGCCTCCTCTCTCAAGTACAACGGGCGACTCTATTTCCGTGCGGTCGAGGCGGTCCTTCCTTGGTCACCGTCCGTCCCTTGTGCTCGCCTCGCAGGCCTCCTACTCCTTTACCGCCAGCCAATTCGATCAAGTAGTTGCCCTGTCTTTTTTTTCAACGTTTTTTTTTTCCTTTCTCCCTCACTTTTTCTTTCCTATTCTATCCGTCTCTTTTTCCCCCTTTTATCGAATCATCGCATAGGTCGGTCGGTTGGTTGTACGGACCTACCGATACGCTCTAGCATCGTCTTTTGACGTCAAAGCTCATGTGGAGAGGGAGAGGGGGTGAGGGAGGTGACATCAACAAGATCGACAACCCGCAACAACAATCGGTGTATCGGCCGATACTCAGTTTGGTGGAGTGGGGTGGCGCAGGAGGAGCCGTCGCCACCATTCAGGAAGATGTTTGTAGTCGACGGTTACTACTGCATTCTCCTGCAGTTAGGGACACGGCGAAGAGTTTCCCGCACACCCTTACTGCATGATATTGATTTGTTTCAGTGAAAATATGTTCGTCACATCTTAAATAATCTACGTTACGTTTCGTTTTGGACAAATTGCTGCACAAAAATGCATGACTTTAAAGTCCGAATTCGTACAAATGACTGAACAACAGTGTTCCAATCAAGATTAAAATCCGAGCAGAAATTTGTCCATCACATATAATTGCTTGACTTCATACAAATAAAATACACAAATCCAGTTGAAGTGCAGCACTCTTATTCTTTCTGGGAGCGTGTGTGGTTTGGGTTTTGAATGCGTGTCTCAAACGAGGGGGAAATCACTTGTGAAAAAGTTCGTACACCTTCCCCCGAAATAGTCCGAAATAAATGCGAAATAGAGCAAAATAGACCCAAAATAGTCACGAAATAGTTGGTGAAATATAGTCGCGAAATACCCTCCAAATACTGCGAAATACCCCTAAATACTCTAAAATAATCCGAAATAGGCGAGAAATAACCGAAATGTAAGGAGAAATACCACGAAATAGTCCGTACGCTACGAACCCAAGTGATTTCCCCCTCGGTCTCAAAGCATTAAGTAGGGTGCACCCATGACAGCATACCTGAAAGTTCCTTACAGGGTCTTACAGGGTATCCCATAGGTGGCTTGGTCCCGCACGGTGGCATTTTATGGAGGCCAAGCGAGTGACGAGCCCGCTCGCACGCCTCCATGCGGTACACTATGACCAAAAATGTCCGGAACGGGGCCTATGGGAGACCCTGTATATCGGGGACGAAAGAGAGGGGAGGGGTCAGGAGAAGGGAGTGAGGTAGAAACTGTAGCGTGCAAACTGTCCTACCGCAAGGCCTCCATTTCCACTCTAAATTAGTACCTTTGTGGAACCGAGCCGGTCCCGGAGGGGCACAGGGAGGGCGAGGGGGTGCGGCCATAGTGAAGGGGCAGGGGGCGGGAGGCGGCGCCGGCAGCTCGCCCGTAGCCGCCGCAGCGGTGGACCCCGCCCCCCGCCCCTACTGAATAATAATATCTTAATATCGCACATGGGGCCTACTTAACAGTTTTGCAAAGAGCTCAAAATGGCAATCCTCTTTGGGAATGGATGGTGGCCAGGCACGCTCGTCGCGGCCGGGGGATAAAGGTAAGGGGGTGCCTGTAGAAGGGTGCGGAGAACAGTCCGCACTCCGCAGCGATTGACTCATTTCCACCCTAAAAAAAATTACATTTCTACTTTCATACTCCGTATTACTTTCGAAAAATCTAAAGAAGAAATAACTGGAGAAGTCGGGAGAAGTAGTACGGTAACAATGATCAGGAAAAGTGCGTTTATCATGACACTACTTTTTTTTATATATTTTCGAAAAGTAACGATACGATTAAAATAAATAATACGTGAAGTAGTGTACGAAGAAATCCGCGCGCGCGCGCCTGCAATTCAGCGCGCAAGCCCTCGCCCCTGCAGCAGCGCTATGCCGCCACCCTCCGCCGCCTTTGCTGTAATGTCTGCACGCGATCCAGAATTACAATCGTAAAGGGAGCCCCAAATTACAAGGCGGTTGGCCCGGTCGGTGGCCGCCCACCCCGCGCCCCGGGGCCGGCCGGCCAGAAAAACACGTTACATCCCCCGTATATCACTCGGGCGCGCGGGGGCGGCGCGGGGGCGGCGCGGGGGCGGCGCGGGGGCGGCCCACGACTCTGGGGAACATGACGTGCACGTGGGACTGATTGGGGCGGCCGGGCGGGCGTTATCGCCATCACGAATTACATGTTGATATCGGGGACGTTGGGCGCGCCGCGCGCAGCCATTCGGTCAGAGAGAGCTGAGCCTCATTTACAGCGCCGGACTGTGTTGTATAGATTCCTCGTGGCCGGGGGGACACGCGCGCGTCTAGCCCTGTCGAGCCACAAGAGCACCCCCATATCTGATGTGGCCTATCCATAGAGGGAGTGGCCCGATGCGCCCCTCCCCCTTCTCCCCCTTCCTTCCTCCCCCCCTCCTCCTCCTCCTCCTCCTCCCCCTCCCTGCGCCGGCACGCTCCCGGGTAACCCTCGGAAGGACTGCGGGGTCGCAATGGGTGCGTACGACACGACGCCGTTGCGGCCGTCTCCCTCCCCAGACTGGGAGCGGCGGCACGGTGGTGCTACTGCGTCCACACACCCATGGCTCTGCTTTATCTTTGGAGCTGCGGTATGAATTCTTATTGTCACGTTTTCGGTCGTCAGCCTCACGTTAGCCGGGCCGGGGATGGGGGACGGCCCCGGCGGGAGTTGAGGTGAGTCCCTTTCGGGGTGAAAATGAGCTTCTGGGGACGTTGTGTAAAATGAAAAAAAGAGAGAAAAAAAGTAAGTTTGAGCAAAAGTTAAAGAACAAAACAGAATGATACAGAAAATCAACGTTAAAAGGGAAAGGGTTAAACAAAAACCATCAAAAACAAACACATTCTAGGCACAACGACACGAAAATTCACACCAGCGAGGGTGCGCGTCGAGGGAGCTGGTAGACAACGCTCGGAAGACCTCGCCGCAGAACAGCCCCCTCATCACTGTTTCGCCCGAGGCGTGTACTCACTTGTCCAGCTTGTAGTGCTTGCAGGCGAGGCAGGCGGTGGGGCCCTTGCCGTAGCAGCCGGCTGCTTCGAGGCACTCGTGGTCGCAGTCGTGCAGGATGAGGGGCCGCATGGAGGCGGGCAGCGGCGCGGCGGGGTGGTACTCGGGCGAGGGCCCCTGCGCGCCGCCGCCCAGCGGCACGAGCTCGACGAGGGACGGAGCCCCGGGGCCGAGGCCGCCGCCGGCCGCCGTGCCGTTGGCGCTGGGCAGCGGGTCGGCCGCCGTGCCGTACAGCACCAGCTGCCACTTCTTGACGACGCCGTTCTGCTTGGCCGCCTCCTTGCCCTGGTTGGAGACGCGCAGCGTCCAGCGGCCGTCGGGCCGCTCGCCCCAGTAGTGCACCGAGAGGAAGGCCCAGTCGTCCAGGTTGGACGACTCGGTGTCGAGCGGCCGCTCGCTCAGCAGCACCGACGTGGTGCCCATCGGCGAGGTGAGCGTGACCCGGAGCGCGCCGCGCGGCGAGTAGCGCAGCGTCACGCGCGCCTGCACGTGCTCCAGGAAGCGGATCTGCAACAACAGAGAGAACCGTCAGACGAGAGGTCAATGACTCCAGGCGACAAGGCACACCTATGGAGTACGGCGAGCGCACTAGGAGTACACTTGGAGGACGTGGACATCCGAAATTCTTCTTGAGTATTTCCTAAATATTTCCTAAATATTTCATAAATATTTCCTGATTACTTCCTGAGTACTTCCCGAATACTTCCCGAGTACTTCCCGAGTACTTCCCGAGTATTTCCCGAGTACTACCTGCGAGCACTTCCTGAGTACTTCCCGAATACTTCCTGAATACTTACCGAGTACTTCTCTAGTACTTCTGGACTGCGCGTGCAGAGTACGCGGAGTCTCGAAGTACGTTCTGAGATACAGTCAGCCTGGGGCACTAGTTGTCGACCCTTATCGCATCAGCCCGGGTGACCTCTCTCTACCTTCCACAAGACGAACGCCCTGCGCTCTTTTACAATGTCAGGGGTAGGGCCGGGCCGCAGGCCGCACCCACCTAATGCGGCCCAACAGAGTCCCCGGAGCGGGTCACGGGCGGGCCGGCGGGGGCAAACTAAACTACTGCTGCATACATCACAGAAAGGCGGCTGGCCTGTCCGGGCCGCCGCGGGGCGCGCCGCCAGCAGGCGCCCCGCCCGGCCCCGTCTGAATACATTGCGCCCTTGTGCGGCTGCGGTCTCCCAAGTTGCGCCCCCGCTACCACCATTCACAGGAGCAGGAGCAGGGTGTAGGGTCACAAGCTGGACGTCCCGCCGAAACACATTGACTAAAATCATCATTGTTTGGGGAAATGAGTCGCATCATCAGCACAGTAACCTTTCGCTTCGCCAGTGCCCCACGCCCACTTCAGAACCACACCGCACGCCGCCCGCCCCTCCCCAGGGCACGCTGCCCGTCGTGTTGCTACAGAAGCGTGCGATTCATCGCCGCCGCTCCGACACCGCCGTGCCCAGCCTCTGCCCCCCGCTGCGCCCCGCGGGACCGTCGAGGCCTCTGCCGCCCGGGCCTCGGCCTCCTCCTCTGGCCGCCGAGGCTGCAGTGTGGTCGTCCCCGGCCACTCCTCGCTCCGCTGGGAAATAATTGCCGACAACCTGGGCTCCCCGAGGCCGAGCTCGCCAGTCTGGCCCCCGGGGACCGGCGGCGGCGGCGGCGGCGGCGGCGGCGGCGGCGGCGGCGGCGTGCGGGCGGACGAGGCCGGGGGCGGCGGAGGCCGGCGAGCACAACGGCCGGGGTCGGCAGCAGTACCGCCGCCCGGGCGCGCCCGCAGGCAGCGAGGCGTGCCGTTGCTGCACAAGTTTGAATCCCGTCCTGCACATCACAATGCCGGAGCCTCCCCTTTCAGCCGCCAGCCCAAGTACCCCCCGGCCCCGGCCGCCCTGCCCGACGGGGCTGGCTGCTTCCATCGTGCGCGGCCAGGCGCGCACAAACAACCAGGAGTCGAGCCGCAAATTCCGCCTGTGTGCGCTGCACGTGCATTTTTGCGCGGCAAGGCGGCCCAAAGCGGCTTACGTCAGCCAGAGCGCCCGGCGCGAAACATAAAAAAATCGGTTGAGGAAATTTCACCGAGAGCGGCGAACCAGCAGACCGTAGACACGGCGTCACATCGTACAATGAACAAGACCCGCTTCTTTCGCCGCTCAGTCCTCATAAAGCTTCTGCTCGGAGAGGCACGGACCGGTGCACCGCGGTCGCGGGGGGTAGGGGGGGGTGTAGAGGGGTGAGCAGCCACGTAAAGCCACTTACAACAGCGACCTAAGCCAGCCAGGCTCGTCGGGCCTCGAGCCGGGCCCCTCGAGCCTGGCGCCTATGTGCTCCTGCAGCCACTCACGGGGCGCGGGATAATAAGCCATAGGTGCCATGGGCCCTACAGGTGCAATACCGATGGAATAACGGTACATGCACCCAAGCAAAAAAGAACCTTGTTAGAAGTACATTTTTTTGTTTCAATTTAAATGATGACTAGGAATTCACTCTTGAAACAAAGCTTATATTATCTTTCAAATAAGAGAAAAATCTTATTTAAAAGACTATGTCGCGTTGTCTGAAAGAGTGAATGTGATCTGGTGTCAGAAGAATGACCTTTAAAGAAAGAACATTTTTTTGTTGGCTGGCGCGGATGACGGCGGGTGGGAAAGAGTTCAGAGGTGGGGAAGGGGCGAAAAAAGAGGAACTGAAAATTGCACCAGTTCGCACCGTTGCGGCCTGAGCGGCCTCCACGCCAGTGTGTTAGGGGCCTGCTTTAGCCGAGGGCTCTTTACCCCGCCAGGTGTGGGTGAGCAAGACACCCCGGAAGCGGTGACAAAATGGCAGCTTCCGCGCCGCTCGGGACTTCCGGTACCGGTAAGGCAGGCAAAGTGCGGACGGGGCCGGGGCCACGCGCTGCCGCACGAGGCGAGCGGAGGACGTTGAAGAAAGGGGCACAAACTGCGCGGGTGAGGGAGCGACGAGGAGAGGAGGGGAGAGGGGGAGTCTCGTTCCGGAACATCCCGTAATTAACCTGCGCACCCGGAAGCATCCCCGGGCCGGCCGGAGAGTTTTTCGCCGCGGCCCAAGCCGAGCAGGGGACCAACCGGCGGGCACCAGCAGGCCGTGCGAGAGAGTTGGGAGATAGTTGTTGGGATCGTGGGTCGTATGGGAGGGTTGTGAGAAGCGCCCTATTGCCAGCAGGGCAGCAGGTGCCAGGCGGGTTAGCTAATTCCTCCGACTGGTCACTTATGACCAACAATCTTCTTCCTGGTCTATCTTTATACTCATCTCCAGCCCACCCGAGCCCCTCTCACGCCTCCGCGCCCTCCCCTCGCCCCCTCTCCCAGGCGCCCGCCGACCCCACGGAGGCCCAGATCCCTCAAGCCGTGAGGATTTCGAAGACAAAACGCAATTTGGGGTTTTACACTTGGCACAATCAAGATGCCGTCCAGCCACGCGGCAACGGGGCGGCCGCTGTGAGAGCGAGTCGAGGAGGAAGCGGGCGAGGGGGGTCAGGGGATGTGAGGGAGCTACAAAGAGCTAGGAGCGGCGAGGAGAGCGGAGAGCGAGGAGAGCGAGGCCGCCGTTTTCTGATCTCAGGGACTGTTTAAATAAACGTTTGTTTTAAAACGCGCCGGGATTTTCGTGTCAAGCCGCTAAGTTTGAAAAATCCAATTTCCGTCCTCTTGTGATCAAACGTCTTTGTTACGCACTGTCCGGGGAAGCCCTCCACTCTCCAGAGTGATTGCAAGCGGCGCGAGGGGGTCGCTGGCCGAGATGGCGGGGAAAGACGTCAGAGCGACAAACAGCAGCAGCAGCAGCAGCAGCAGCAGCAGCAGCAGCAGCAGCAGCAGCAGCAGGGTGGAGCTCAAAGTCCTGGAGGACCGCTTTATCTTGTTGTCCTCGGGCCCCCCACGCCGCCGCCGTGGAAATTAAAATCCTTGCCGCCCTTTTCCGGCCGCGCCACGCCGCGCCACGCCGCGCCCAGTTAGGCAAAGGCCACAAGTCTTGTCCTTGTCGCTTGGCACGAGTGCTGACCCGGTGTCGCCAGCGCGCGCACTTTTGGTGTCATAGCCATTAAGATTTGCACTGCTCTCTTCGGCCCAGAAGAAAAGGGGGGATAAGGGCACCACCGCTAAAAAGTGCTCGTCTGCCAACTAGTGCCCCCTGGACGAAACGCAGCTAATAAAGTGAAATCTCACTAGTCTTTTCTTATTTTCCCCTCCAATCCGAGTCGACTACTTAAGACAGAATTCTAAATCAATGCATGGGCTGTTGTTGCCCAAAACAATAAATGAAAAGGGACTTATTTTCGTCCTGTGTTGGAATGGCTAATTGTGTGATGATTTGGGGGGACAGTATGTTTTAGTTCGGATCGGTTCGGATATAAGGTGACATGCAACGAAAGAATGTAGAAATTTCGACGCAGAAAAGTGATACGCCAAGAAACAATTATCGCTGGAGCAAAGTAGATTCACACATCTGGATTCGTGCACACGTACTGCTTGCAAGTGACAGGCTGTGCGCGTGACCGGGCGCTACCGGGGTGGGAACCAATAGCGCGGCAGAACAAGGAGGCTCCACACACAGAGGGTATCGAGAAGGGTCGGGGAAGGGTTCAAGAGCAGACCGAATTTGGTTCGAGACATGCACACAGGCACGCAGGCACTGGGCTGGAACATTTGTTGAGGGCGTGGGGGAAGCGAAGGGAAAGAAAGTCAACGGAAGGAGACCAGGGTCACCAAAGAGGGGCAACCCGGGGCAATCTGGATTCATACTCTAGTACCAGTACCCACTCCAAACGGATAGTTTGGTTTAGAAATCGACTTAGTATTGTTTGCAACGGGAACATTTTACTTTTATCGTGCGTGGTTTTAGAACATTTTATTTTCAAACAGTGTCGAATATCCGAGGCCGAGAAAGTGTTATACTTGTGCTTGACAAACACGAAACGTACAGCAACACATCAACTCTGCTATGGACGATATCGCAAATAGGCAAAGGCGATGCCACGAACTTTTTAGAAGGGCGGCAGCAAAAAAGAAAAAAACTGTTCCTGTCTCACTCAGCCAACATGACCTTCTCCTCCCCCCCCCCCCCCCCCTCCCCGCCGCTCTCTCTCTCTCCCCTCTATCCACTTGTTTGTATCCTGTTTTTGGCTTATTGGCTCTTGAAATGGGACTCCGCGCCGCCTCATCGCCCCACCCCCTCCTCCACCCCGGACTTCCTTTCTTTATTCCATTTCGCGCTAAGCGGAAGCTGTGCGGCTCCAAGTGAGCACCAAGTGGCGGCCAAGTGGGGCGTCCTCCTGCGAGTGGGGAGCCGCTCCTCTCGCCTTTCAAGCCCTCCCCCTCCCCCTCACTCTTCCCTTCCCCCCGCCCCCCGATACCTGGGCAATAAGTTATGTTCCGGTGCCGCAGGAGTGGACGCGCGGCAGACACCCTCAGGGACCGGGGTGGCTGGGGAAGGACCTCATCCCACCCTCCCTCTTGCCTCCCACGCCAACCTAAGTCCCGTTTGTCCGCGTTAGGGACGGGAGGGGGAGGGGGGCGCCGGTGTATCAACTCGGCCCCCGCTCGCTCGGCTCCGCTCGGCTCCAGACCCACAGGACAGGCCCCTTTTCCTTTTCCCCGCCACGAGCGCCCATTTTGTCGATTCGCCGCGGTAATCTCGTGCGCGCGTTTTCACACGCCGCGCAAACTTTGTCCGGCCAGCACAGCAGGGTGCGGGCGACTGCAGCCCCGCAACCTACTTTTGGAATGGGCTTCTGACATAATTGCAAATTGCGAGCCAGGCGGGCGGGCGGGCAAGCGGGGCGCGGAGCCTCAGGTGCTGCGCCGCCTCCTTGTCACTCGCCGGGGACCGCTGCGAGAGCGAGAGAGAGGGAAAGAGAGAGAGAGAGAGAAGGAAAGAGAGCGAGAGAGGAGGAAAGAGAGCGAGAGAGGAGGAAAGAGAGCGAGAGAGGAGGAAAGAGAGCGAGAAAGTAGGGAGAGAGAGAGAGAGAGAGAGAGACTGCGCAATGCGGAGCAGTGCCGCGGCAACAACGGACCAACGGATAGCGGCCGGAAAAACTCGTTTGAGGCGTAAAGCAGCGCGGCAAACATGCGACAATAATAAGGGGAAAGGTGAAAAGAAAAAATAAGCACTTCGCGCGGAAACTAGCTTGTCGAGCTAGCGGTAAGCGAAGCACACTTTGATTCGATACCCGACGACGCTGCGCTTCTGTCGCCGCGCGAACCTCTTGTGCACCCAGCGAAGCATTTTCTTGACATTCCAATGTTCTTGCTAAATTTAAAAATATGACACTGTTAAAAGCTGACAGTAATTTTCCCCGTAAGCTACAGTGCTGCACGCTTTCCCTGTAGCTTAAAATCACTGTAAGCTTTTAACAGTGTATTGTGCTTTTTATGATGAGAAAATTTTGCTTGTAACGAGCACAATTTCTTTTAAACGAAGCAAATTTTTCTTAAGTTGAGCAAGAACATTGCAAAATCGAGAACATGCTTGCCTGGGTGAGCTCGTCGCGAGCGCACATGGCAATTAAAGTGTTACGGGCCGCGCTTGAAACGGGAGGATGAAAGCTAACTTCGCGCCGCCCCACTGAGCGGGAGCTCGTTTGCGAGCGGGCGACACAAAAAAACAAAAAAACAAAAAATAAACAAAATAGAGAGAGTGGGAGAAGAGGGGGGCGGGTGG